TTATCATTATCATCCACCATACTACTTCTTAATTACATTCATTTCCTTCTTCATTCGTTCCATACCAAAATGAACATTTTGAACATTTATTATTCTTTACTTCTTTACATTTATTAATATCTGAATATTTAATACATTCTTTATTTTTTAATACATATTCATTTTCACAACTATTACATTCATTCTTTATTGAACATCTTGTACAATTCTCTTTACATTTTGAACATTCTTTATTTATTAAATAATATCCTTCTGAACATTCTCTACATCCATATTCTTTATCTATTTCTCCTTTACATCCTTTAACTTCGTCTATTGATTTACATTCTCCTATCCAACTCATGAAATATCCATCTGCACATGTTGTACATTTATCTTTTTGATTGCATGTTGCACATTTTTCTCCACATTCTGAACATCCTTTCCCATTTCTATAATATCCTTTATTACATATTCCACATCCACTTCCATCTGCTAATAATTGTAAACATGTTCCATTTAATTCATTATTTGATTGACATGTTCTATTACTACTTAAATATTTATCACTAGAACAACTCATACAATATGTAGATGAACCATAACATGTTTTACAATTATCATCACATTTTGAACATTTCATATTTGTTGTTAAATAATATCCATCTGAACATCGTTTACATCCATATGTATTTTGTTCTTCACAATTTTCTATTGTTGTATTAATACATTCTCCTTTTGAATCAGGTGAATATGTTGTTAAACATTCAACACATTTTCCATTAACATATAACTCATTTGAACAATTTGAAATATTGGAATTACATTTTCCATTTTGATCTTTTATCTTTCCTTCTTCACATGTTTCATTTATACATGTATTATTATCTAATTGTTGGTTATCTTTACATTTTAATTCAATATCATCTGAATTACATATTTCTGATTCTGTACATTCTATACATTTATTATCCTTGATGTATTTTCCATTTTCACAATATATTTCTTCATTCTTTCCATTTTTATTTTCTTTACTTTCACATGTTCCATTATTTAATGTATATTCATTTGAACATGAAACACATTCATTTCCTTCATAATAACATTCTTCTTTATCTTTAACACATTTATTATTTTCTATTTTATATCCATTTAAACATTTTAAACAATAATTCCTTTCTGACTTCTTACAATTATTCATTCCTTGACATTCTCCATTTACATTTACATATTCTTCTCCACATTGATAACAATGTGTTTCATTTCCAATTTTACATCCATTCATATATTTATTACATTCATATATTGAATTAAGATAATATCCATATTCACATTCAATACAATGGTTTTGATTATTTAATTTAATACAATGTGAATTTTCTTGACATTCATTGTTTGAATTAAGAGAATATCCACTTTTACATTTAATACATTTAAATGCTTCCTTTGATTTACCAGTTAAAATAATACAATTTGGAAATGGATTAATTAGTGTTATATTTTCATCAATTGTCATAATATTATTATTACCATTACCATTAATAGTTAGTGTTGTTGATATAGAAGAAGCAGTGAAATAATAAATACAATCACTAACAAAAGAATTACAAGTGAGATTACCATTTATAATTAAATTGAATGGGGGTTTTGATGGATTTGATAAATGTTTTATGTGGTTATTTCCATCAATTTCTAATGTATTTGTTTCTGAATTGTATTTAAATTGTGGTTTATTATTTGGTTTTCTAATATTCGTAATTTCAAAATTATTAAATTTTATCATTTGGTTGTACTTGTTGATTGATGAAAGTGAATTTATTAATAATTTAACATTATCATCAACATTAATTTGTTTAGCATACACAAAGTTATATAATGTAATGTCATGGTCAATATGAAGAATTGTATTGCTGATATTAACCATGTTAAAGTTTACTGTTGTTAAACTTGTTTTAATATTAAGAGTACATTCATTTCTATTATCATCACATGGACAATGTGGATAATTAAATAGATAATCACCTCTTCCTGAATATGATAATGGTGAATAATCAGTACCAATCATTGTACAAATAACATTTTTATCTAAATCAATTCCATTTGGACAAAATCTCATTAACCTCTTATTTGATAGTAAATATGCTGTACCATCTTTCATACTAAGTCCATTATCAAAGTCTTTTGGTAAATAATGATTATATGTGTTTTCATCAAAATCAAGTGCATTTTTATTATTAAATGACATCACATCAAAACATTGATCATTATTACTTGGATTTTGAATTTTAAATTGTCCTGTTGATGTTGTAGTTGGTTTGTAAAGATGTATCCTATTACTATTCCAAATAATTAATTGAGGTTGATTTAATGATGGAGTTGTTTCAAATGTAATTAGTCGTTCAAATGAGACATTACCATTCCAAATTATTTTAGAATTTTTTCCAATGTTAAATTCTTCTCTTGTATGAAATTTACCATTTAATGTAATTTGAGAATGTTGTTTAATGTAAAAATTCTTTGCATTCCAATAATCCTTTGAACTTGTCATTATAAAATTACCATTAAAATATGTACTTTTACATTCCATAGGTTTATTTAAAGAATAAGTGAAGTCCCTCGTAAAATGATATGAATAATCATTATTAGTTGTTTTGCATAGTGTATCAATTTTATCATTAAATCCATCTTCAAATTTATCTCCTAATGGAATACAATCATAAGCTTTAGCATGAATACAAATAGACAATAATATAATATAAAATATTAACATCAATGAATATAAAGAATAACAATATTAGATTATTTGTGTTATTTATTGTTTCTTTCTTTTTTATTATTTTGATTTTTTTAATTTTTTGTTATTTTATACTATAAATAGATTATTAAAATATAATAATTTATTAGTTGTTTTTATTATTAATTAGTAATTTCTTACAACAAAAAAATGAAAAACATGAATTTTTGATTTAATAGTAAATGTTATTCTCAATAACTCATTATTTTGTTTATTGAATGTGTTATTGTCTTTTTATGTATTTATTTACTCACTCTTAAATTATCCATTAACAAAATGCAACACACATTATTTGATAATAAAGCGTTGATGGTTTTTCATTTTGAGATGAAATGAAATTATGAAAAACAACAGAATCATTAATACTTATTTCAATGTAAAGTAAATAATTAATTGAATGAACAAAACACTTTGGTACAAAGTAGATTAAATGAATAAAGAAATAGTGAACAACAAGAGCATGAAATATTGGATAATGAAAATGATAACTCTTTCACGAATGTCTATTCATGTAGAATGTGACAACTAAACAATATTATAAGAAATAAAAACGTGAGTTTGAGACTAACAATGGAAGATATTGTATGTGTATAACTTCAATGGAATGTGTCAATGTTACATTGATAGAATATTCATAATTTAATGATGTTATTCAATGTTATTTAATTTAATGATGATAGAAATTATCAATAAAATATTCAAAGAATTGGTTATTTGAATAAGTTTTATATTTTTTACATAAAGACTAAAGTAGATAAAATAGATAAATGTAGTGAATGATAAATGAATTTGTTTGATGGAATAAATACATTTATGATAATAATGAAACAAAGAAATAGTTAAGTTGAATAAAAGTATATTCAAATAATGAATAACCCTTTTTAATTATTAATTTATCATTTCTTATTAATTAATTAATTTATTTCTTTATTTTTTG